TTTAGTAAATTTTGAATTTTTCCAAAAGTTGAAAAGCTTTAAAAATGAAAATTGGACCTCCGTCATCTTTCATAATCTCATCTCACTTTATTCTATCAAAAACGAGCATTAAAAATTTGGAGAATTTTTTGAAAATAATTATAAATATTGTTGTTGCTTGGTGTAAAGAACACTTCAAAATTTAAGATTTTTAATATTATTTTGACTTCTAATCGGACATCATTGATTTCAAAATTTACATATTCATTTCGAAAAAATGCAAAGAATGTTTTCGTCTCTAGTGTTCATAGATTGACAGATGGACACAGAAGTTTTTCCGAAAGTCAATTTTTCGGTATCAAGAATTTAAATATTGTGGATTTGCATTACACTATTAGAGAAAGTAATGTACAACATACAGGAATAAAACCCACTCGTATAGTATTGCTCACAAAACGAGTTGTTGGAGTTTTCTTTAAACAGCACTTTTCACTGCAGGATTATATTTCTTTCTCTATACAACGTAATACTACGTGTGTATATATATATATATATATATATATATATATATATATATATATATATATGAAGTAAAATGATTTTTTCCTTAATTTGTAACTGAAATATGAAATTGATTATGATTGGACACCATAATCTTCTCCGGCTTCCCCACCTTGTGTTGAGACTCTCGTTTGCTATGCCCTAATGAGTGTCACATTGAAAGGCTTTGATTGAAGTCTGCTCTCTCAACGATGCAATTATTGCATATTTGAAGTGCCTTTGATGGCGCGAACCGGCTTGTAAAGCACCCTCTCTTTTGCGGGGGTGCGGCGAGCGTGTTCCTTTGGTTCGCTACCGCGCACTCTGTGCACCGTGTCAGGCGCTTGGAGGATGTCTCCATTATTACCCTCTCGGTCGTGTTACACGCTAGTGGTAGCGGGCCACTCCAGCCGACACGACCCTTGAACGTCCCCGAAGAGGGGTGGCACTGGCTGCAAAGACGGCGAGAGCAAAGCAGAGCTACGGCGAACATGCGTTACTAGGGTCTCGGATACGAAAACGCAGACTAGTTCATAAAAGCTAGTTAATATCTACTCTTCGAGCATATCTATAGTTTTCGAGGAAATGTGTAAATACAATTGTTTCTGAGCGTGTATTTCCCTAAAATGTTTCCTTATTTTCTGTTTGACAAATTATTAAAACGTAATAGACTTTGTTGAAATATTGCTTTATTTTGACTTAAATAAAGTCAAAAACTGTGTGTGACGTGCTATGGGAAAAGTTAATTTGAAGTTACATTTATGTCCAGAAGCAAACCAACGGCCATCTCAGCATTTGCTCGAGGATCGAGATGGGTTTCGAAAACCTGATCGAGATTTGCTTCATATTGATATTCACAATTTAGCCCTTAACACTGTTCTTTTGATGTTCCACAGTCGATAATTAAATGTTTGGAAACATCTCAAATAGCAGGTGCTTTTAACAATTGTCTTTTAAATCAGATATTGTCTCTACATAGTGCTATATAATAGTTCCCAAAATTCGAAGATGCAATAAATTACTAAGTTACGAAGGAATTCAAACTTCAAACAGCCACAAAAGAAATAATACTGTTATAAAGAATGTCTGAGAATGAATATTAGATACTGCTGGGGCATGTAGGGTGGACGAAAATGTGGTGTGAAAATATTATAAAAAGACGTTAAACATTACATTTTTCCTATAATTGTATACAGCTCGTCTTGCACTGGTGTTTGGCATCTACTCGAAATTTACGGATTGCGTCAGAATGTATGACCCTGCCAGTGTACGAAGTGCGTACCAACCAGCGGCACATATGTACCATTCTTATGAGATTTCTCACCACCTGTTAATTGCAAAGAGTGATCCTTTTCGATGCCCATCATGCCCTAGAAGTTTGTAACAATAATTCTCAAACTCCTGTAGAGCCGGAAGGATGACAATTCGCCCTGAAATGAACGAAAAGAAAACGTCTTTCTTGCACCCGCAAATATTGGTTAACTTTATATAACCGCACATTTCTAACGTTGAATTCGTGTTATTAGTGTTTGGTAATATGAGAAAGCTCCTGCACAAATTGTGAGGACCTCGTGAGTCAAAAAGTATTCTAATATGCGATATCCTAGATAATTATGGCAACTTTTAGCAAAATATCCATACTTCGATACCAAAAGGTTTTTGATGTCGATGAAAACGTCGACAGAAATATCAATGTTTAAACTATCGATGCTTTAAATATGATGAAACCGACAGTATTTTCCCATCCTGTTTCCATTATTCGATTCGATTTATTTCTATTATATTGGTTTACTTCGCAAACAATCAGACTCCATACATATGATATAACAAGTACATGGACAGTACCCTCAACTGCCTTTTCAGTGCACCGGGAGAGCACAACAATATCGGATGACGCTGCTGACGATTTCTTCGTTCAGCAACTTTATCTCATCAGAAAGATCATCGAAACTTCCCCGTATCGAAGCCTTCCCCTTCTCCATCAATTCTTCATTCTCCTGTTCTATATTCCTCTTCCTCCGCCAACTCCTGTCCATCCCTCCTCTTCGTCACTCTTCTTTCTCCCTTCTACCTCTCCCTCTCCTCTTTCTTCCTTTCCTCTTTCTTTCTCCCTTTTCTCTTTCTTTCTCCCTTTTCTCTTTCTTTCTCCCTTTCCTCTTTCTTTCTCCTTCTCTTTCTTTCTCCCTCTCCGCTTTCTTTCTCCCTCTCCGCTTTCTTTCTCCCTCTCCGCTTTCTTTCTCCCTCTCCTCTTTCTTCCACCTTTCTCTCCTGGTTCTTTCCCCTCCTCTTCTTCCTTTCTCTCCTCTCCTCTTTGTCTGTCCTTTATCGCTTCATCCCTGCTCTTGTTTCTCCGTACTCATCGTTCAAGTTCCCTCGACCTCCCATTTCTATCAACGCGCTTTCCGGCTGTTAGGGCCAGCTGGCGCAGTGGCTGTCGCCCATGTATCATTAATCAGCACACGACACGTGTTGCGCCAGAGCCTTCTCACTACTTTCGTCCCCCAGCTTCTCGACGGCGCTTCTCTCGCCTTCTCGCGTTTTCGGTGCAACAGTCCCTCTGCAACCCGAGCATGCCATGACAGTAATAGTTTGTTGGAAAATAACGTTAGAAAAAGTAAAGTTGAATCAATATAGTGCGTTTTAAAAGGCTACATCAACATCAGCTGTTGTCGCAAGTTGTAGAAAAAGCTATATCTCTCGAGTACTGACATTAGAAGTAAACAGAGCATCACATCTATTAAAATTATGAAAACGAGAAGCATTTATGTGGTATTATCGCATGTAACAAATCTAAAAGCATAATATGAATCAAATACAGAGCTTCACAAATTTTTGCGAACAAAATGTAGTTTTTTCGAAATAATTAAATTCTTTCTTAGACGATTACCTCACAAAACGGAATCGCTCATGCTAAATTTTAAAGGACCACCACTTTACGTCTATAGGCAACGACCATGGACACATCTGAATTATGTGTATTTTGTCTTGATGTTACGTGGTGAACTCGACTGATGATGTAAGACGTTCAGACGACATGAAACATGATGTAGCAGTAATCTGTGGCTGTAAAATTGAAAATCCTTATCTTCCTACCTGTCAAACTACTCAAGACAGTGGAGTGAGTTGAACCTAAACGCAAGTTCTTTTGTTTCCTTTGCCTTTAACTACAGCTGTTTATACAACTCCAAGCTCAACAGAAACACAAAATTCTAAAAACTAATTATTTCCTTGTATTGGGCTTGTATTCACATAGACAATTATTAGAGAGGTATCGGGGATGTAGATAGCTAAAATTAAACATACCAAACAATTAAAGTCATTTGAGTTGACGCAAAAACTTGAACGATAACTAAAAGGAATTACTTACTTTTAACATTGCAGCAGGCCACTACAAAAAACATTCTCGCACATCTCTGAAAATAGTAAAATAAAGGGACTCTTCAAAAAATAGCAAAATTCCTAGTTATCAATGTTCTTGTGTTTGATGCCAATAGACTTAAAGAGCAGCATGAAGCTTGTATAGGGGAAGTTGAATTAAATTTCACGATACTGAGGCTTAAATTATCAAGTTTCCACATTATTGTGGCATTGCCTACCTAATTAGCAGATCTCCCTACAATGACGTTTCAGCAGACGCATTGTCTGTGCTAGCTCTCTCCTGCTGCCCATCTCCGCCCTTTGTGAATTCCACATTACCTACTCCAACACTGAATACTACCATTGTGTCTAGGCGTTGGGCTTTCGACTGCACCAAATGTTTGTTCGCTTACGAGGATTCGTTTTGCATGCCGCTAACGGAAGTCAAACAGCCAAAGAAAAAGTTTCCTCTCGAAAGTTTCCGAGCCCAGCTGGTCAGTCTCACATTTGCTTTGCAGAAGCCCCCGTGGCTGAGGGATCGTCAAATGCAAATGAGGCCCTCGGTGCACGGTCTTTGCTCTTGCAGACGGCCGGCAGTCCTTCCTCGGAGCCTGAGATTGAAATCCTTTTTACGGGCGGCACCGCTGGAGCAACGTTAAACGGAATGCTCTCTGGGCACACTTTCTAATCTTGATCACGTTTTTATTTTTGTGAAACCAAGATTTGAAATATAAAATATTTTCGTCGAGAGATTTGTAATTTCGTTGTACTCCAATGTACGTGCTCTATTCAGAAACAATTTAATTTATTAATATTTTCAGAAACATTAAATCTCGGCTTAACCTGCATAATCAATTTTAATTATCCATACGTTCATTTCCTACAAAAACAAAATCATTTATTTATAAGATTTTATGCACATAACCCGTTCTCTGTAGTTAACCTTATGCCTTTTTTTAGTAATGGTATTTTTCGGTAAGCAGTATTGGTAAACGTACACTGCAAATAATTTCGAATATCAATATGCCGAAGTGAATGTTACAAATTTCCAGTAACTATATGATGTAATATTGCGTTACTCTAAGCATTATTTCTTTGCTGATAAAATATTTTTTGTGTTTCAGGAACAAGTGATCCATACGTCAAGTTCAAGGTGAATGGCCGACTACTGTACAAATCGAAGACCATCTATCGAGAACTGAATCCCGTATGGGACGAGAATTTCATACTACCCATCGAGGACCCTTTTACTCCTGTACACATCAAGGTAAGTTCATATAAACATCATGTTGGATGTTTTCTGTGAAGCGTAATAGTTGTATGATCTCCATTTAAATATCAGTTTAAAATTTGCAAGGTCTCTTAATATCACTTATTAGTGATGCAATCAGGTGGAAAACATTGAATGTGGTCCAAAAATAGTGTACTCTTTAATTGCACCTGGATTATTTCTATAACAAATGATTAACAACCTTACGACAAATTTTCTTGAAATGTCATTAACATTTAAAAGTGGCCCATTTGCGCCCATTTTGCACAACTGACACCAGCGCTTCAAGACTACAAATAATTACTGTGACCGCAGTGACTAGTCCATCTTATAGGTATTTCATGAATGTCGACGTTTGTACTTGTTCGTACTACTGATTTGTTGTGATTCGCTGATATATTCGCACATGATCAAGCCAGGGATTGATTAATCATGTTAGTAGTTTTGCAAGGGAAAGAATGATGAAGTTGAAATAGTGAATGGGTAAATGGCAATGGGAGAAATTGAACATGTGTCTAAACGCCCTTTTTTGAGGTTGTTGAAAACCGGATCAAAGGATCTCTTCTAGGGTTCATAAAAACTTTTATCAATTCGGGATCCACTATGTTTTCAGATTGTTAGAAATCTTAAAATTTTTCAAACGACGAGGGTTATCGGCAACCACATGTATTTCAACGTAACCAAAACTTATTTGAAGGCTTATTTGAAACGTGTTGTTTTTCAGTGCATCGACTTTGCGTTAAATATAAAGTTAAAACCTTTATTTATAAATATACATGTGAGCAAATAATGATATTTTTACAGTATGGAAACTTCAATTATTGGCACCATGGCATTAATATGAATTAATAGACGTGGGAACAATAATTTTATTTTTTTAGTTTAGATTTGTTAATTAATGTTGTTATAAAGTTAGTGAAAATGACCATGGTTTAGTGTAAGATCAGAACAGGTTAGACACGTATAGAATTTAATCATTACGTACGTTAGCACAAAGTGTATCGCCGACTGAGATGACTCACTGCAACAGTTGTTCCTATTGCAACGTCTCGTACTGGGAGGCCCTATGTTTGTCTCGCCGCAGACAAATTTTCGACACCACCTATATAGTTAGAAGGAGATTTCTAGCGGCCAGCTTCTGATCGGTAGTTTTCCCGGGTTTCTCCGATCGATTTGTGGCGAATGCCATAGCAGTACCCTAAGAAACGAGCCCCGGTCTGCGCGTGATCCTTCCTCTTGTTGTCCTATCCTCACTCCTCACTTACACTTACACACTACACTACTACACATCGGGAGACCCGTCGGGAGTTTAGAGCTTACCCCGACTGGAGCAGTGCCCCAGTTGGGGAGATATCTAGTGAGGGACTCCTCGCACGTCGACGTGTGAGTCTGCTTCGGATCTTATGTTCCTGCGGGGACGGAACCTCGTACGTCAAACACTCACGGGACTAATGATCAAAGCAGTTGATGTGCTCGGAAGAACGAAAAACAACATATTTTTTAAGAGGGTGGAAGCCGTTAGCATGTTACTCGAGTTTCCGTGGATTCACCGGTTCGATTCCATGGCGAACCAAAATTCTCTAACATGTTTCCCCGAAATGCATTTGAAATAATGTTTTGTGCACTCACGTTTGATTTACCTCTTATATAAAAGTTAGAGATCGGAATCTCTCGCTGGCGTCTTGGAAATTTACGAGCGAAATGAGTTTACGTAACCCAATAATTATTCTATGGGAGAGAACTTCGGAATGATGAGCCCAAAACATTTTATTTGCAATTTTAAATATTTATTTTCAAAAACGGTATGATATTCAAAAATTCACGTGGCCAATCCTTTCACGCTTAAAAAAGTTCCAAATTTGCTGTAAAGTTCAACTACAATTCTGCTATAAGTATTGGACTCGGTAACATTTGCAGTAATTAAATGTTCCAAATATTACTGCTAATTACCAAACCAGTTGTCGGGCTCAGAACCATCAGTAATCAATCTAAATCTTAGATATTTCCTATTGAATCATTCTGAAAATAAATAGTTAACAATAAGCAGAACGTAAACATTGGTTTATCTTTTCTATTTACGTACGTCACTAGATTAAAGCAGAGTTTAAATACACGGAATTACTAATTCAAATTCATAAATTTTGTGTTAACAGTATCTTTATTATGTTACCTTAATCGTATTCGAAATCTCACATACTGACAGGGCATTCGAGAGTTGTGTAACTTTCCTGTTGAGTGAGCTATAATTCTGAGCATTACAAACAACACTTGAGTCACTTTCCCCACTTGATGACAGTCTTCCTCGAAGTATCTCAACCATTATTTTCTTGTCAAGACTTCGCAACCTGCATTTCAGCAAGCGGAACAGATAAGAGGACACATTCAGGACACATTCATGCTGCGTTGCCAGTCGGTCGCAGCCTTTTTTTTTTGTATGAAAGACAGCCAATGTGACGCCGACACCATAAGGCGGATGCGACCCAAACAAACATTGGACTACGAATAAAACCGGGCCTACAACAGCACGTATTTTCTGTTATGGCTGTGCAATATTATAAAACTACATTAACTTGAAAACGTGTTTGCAACCAAAAAAAGAGTTTTCCTCTTTGGGATGAGACCATAGTACGTTCTTAGTCAGCATGCCATTCACACTACCCCTACACCAACAGTCCCAAAGCTATACTCAACCTTTCCGACGCTTTAATAAACGTTGAACATTTGCGTTGGCGATTTGCAAAAATTCAGATATTTTTATGTGCATTATTTCAATAGATGGTTTTAAAGAACAAATTTCATTAAGGAAAAATGCTATCATCAATATTGTAGTTTCGCAGTGTTAGTTTGTGTAAATTCCGCGATGGCAGCAGATATATTTGAACGTTCATTTTCATTATTGTAGAGCCACCGAAGAAGGATGGAGTCCCGACACAGGTGTATGACTTTGTTTTCTTTTTATTAAAATTTATATCGTAATAAACAACTTTGTGGCTGATTCCTCCGCTATCGTTAATTAATAATTAATTTTATGTTTTCAATTTTCGAAAATACTGATTCAGCATAAAATGGAACATGCACAAATTTTTAAGCTCCTTTGCTTTATCTGATGAAATTTTTTAAAAAAACTTGGAGCCGTTTTTTTAAAAAAAAGTATAAATTTCATTAATTTCAAGCAAAAAATGCGAAAATGATTCGTTTATTTTCATTACATTTTACCTAATCTTATTTAAACATCTAATTTTTTAGGACAGATTCCAGTGAAGACAAATCTCTCTCATCAATAATTTTAGATTTTCAATGTTAATTTGTTGCAAATCTCAAAAATACAGTGTGTTTGCCTAAAATCGGACCTGCACCATTTTAAAAGCCCCTTTTCTCTATCCGAAGAAATAAAATTAAAGAAAAAATGTGTGGCCTTTTTGAGAGAATAATTCTTTATAATTAGCCATACTGCACGCATAATCTCATGAAAACTATTCATTTTTTCGAAAAATTGTACCTTGCCTTATTTAAAGGTGTTTTTGAATAACAGATTACGATGAGGAAAAACTATATCTTTAATATGTAGTGAGTGGAGAACACCAATATAAATATTAAACTTTTGCAATTTTCGAAAATCCAGAGTTCAACGAAAATGCCATCTGCGCCATTTTTAAAGTGTCCTTTAAAGAATCCGGAGAAAAACTTTAATAAAAAAATTGATATCGCAGCTACAATCCTGATCTGGTCTGTCGTGATCCACAACATGATTGAAACGTTGGCACCTCAGCCTTTGACGTGGCATCCGTGACAGCCAGATCAGGCCACATAAATAAAAAAGCAGCCTTTTTTATGAACATTTTGAATACATCTTTGAGTCTTCGCGTAAAGTACCTCCCAAAATCAAAATATATATTCCAAGACTGCGATATCATCCAGATCAATAAGGAAATGGCAATTTCGGTGAAAATTCTGCCGACAAGATTAGTCGCTAACATTGTTATTAGACCAACAGACGTTTTGCCGTTTATTTTAGGGGAGAGTGGTATCAAGGACATGCAAAATGTGTATTGTGACTACACAGTGTATTAGAATACGTTCTTTGCTAAATATAGGAACATGAACTTTTCACTTTTGCGATATCAGGGAACCACAAAACAAGCTTTTTGTGACCAAAAATCAATGTTTTTTCTTGAGTATACTGTGCAAGTATTTTGCGAGAATGTCAACAGTAGACCAACACAATTTTCTTTGTTGATTGTTACTCCCGCGTAGTAATATTAAAATATATTACAACTTCCGTGTTGCAAACAGAAAAAGTGTTGTTTTTTACTTTCCGGCCAAATGATATACGTAGTAAAGAGAGCGTATCATAATATTCTTGTGCTGTAATCTCATTGTAGCGTTTTGTAATCGTGTGGTGGAAAATGGAGATTTTTCGACATAAAAACTCTTATTGTCGGGCCAGGAAACGACAAAGTGAATAAAACTGGTTCCTCTATGTAGAAAATTACTTTCCTCAACAAGTTGTGAAGTCCGATTCCACGTTTCCTGGGTCCCTCATACCGAAAAATCGATTGTCGGCAAAATGTCTCTGACTCTTCGCCAATTTTTAATCCAATATTTTCTCAACAACGGTTTTAAATGTTTTCTGTAGTACATTTCATTTTTCGGATAGCGCAAAGGACGGTTAAAAAAAGGCGCTTTGTATGTTCCGCTGATCACTCTGAATTTTCGAAAATTACAAAGTTATATATAATGTGTAAAAATATGTGCTGTTGTAGCACCGATAGTTTGTAAGTTTCTTCTAGTTAAGGTCTTTGTTTATGATTTTTTTCTTTTTATGATGAAGTTGATTTCAAGAAGAATGTGGAAAAAGAAAGTCTCTTGAAAATGTTCAAACGAGGCAAGAAATATTTGGTTCCTTTTTAATTCAAAAGTCGATCTGTTGCAGCTGCTGATGTGTAGTAATAGAAAGTTCGGCGGCTTGGCTTTTGAAGCCATTTCGCGGTACCAGA